AATAATATAAAAAAAAACTCAAAATACCTACTAGAGGGTTTATAATCAATGAAAAACTATCAGCGCCGCTCTTAGGCCACTGCAACCTATGCGGCTGCAGTGGGCCCCGCGCGAATGCTAGGTGTAAATTATTAAAATAAACCATTTTTAACTTAATAAAGGGTTTCTGGAATTTTCCTGAAAATGTAAAATATACGAAAAAATGAAAATCTCCTGAAATTATTAAAATCTGAAAACTGGTGCAAATCTCCTTGAAAACAGACAAAATTGTCATTTTTGTGTGTTATTGAATATAGAAAACGGAAACGCCAATCCTACTAGTATTTAAAAAAATCGGCACTGTCAGCTTTCATTTCATAAAAATGTAATAATAATGCAAATTTTAACAAAAAAAAAAGTTCAGATTCTTAATGTACTTTACTAGTCACTGGCAAACAAATTATACATCTAAATCTAACTCGACCTCTTAAAAAAAAAAAGCAATATTTTGCTAGTCGATAGTAAATCTAAAAGGCAGATCTGAATGTTTATCCTCTTTTTGTTGAAAAAATACTATCTATTGTAGATGGCTCGTAAAGTTAATTTGACTGATTTTTTACTTAGTAAAGTACGAATAAAATGCAAAGACGATTTTATTTTCTAACACAAAATCTTAATTTTCACTTATTACAACCCAGAATAGGCCCCGCGCAATCCGTTTGGCATAGGGCCCCGCAATATGTAGGACCGGCCCTGCATGGAATTCCCATATTGATGAAACTATTAAAAAATCAAAACAAAGCATTAGGGTTTATTAAAAGAAATTTCTATAAATCAAATAAGAACGCACAATTAATATGTTATTTAACCTTGTTTAGGCCAATAATAGAATATGCATCCTCTGTTTGAGAAATTGGGACCCATAAGCTCAAGAAAACAAGAAACTAATAACACAGAATAGATAATCGATATTCACAATAAACTAATATTCACATTTGACTAGAGTAACACCTTTAGTAAAATCACTAAATTTAGAAAGACTTCAGGAGAGAAGACTCAAAAGTAAAATAGCAATTATACATAAAACACTGAACCATAATCTTCAAATACAAAATCTAATAAAACACCCAGAAAGACACAAAGATAAAGGCACATATGCTAGGACAAATGTGTACAATGCTCCTTATTTCCTTGTGCTATTACAGCATGGAATGGGTTGCCTGAGTCAGCCAGGACAACCAGTGACTCTTGGCAGAGTTTAAGAACTAGGGACATGTGTAGAACATAATCATTGTTTTAGAAGTATATGTCCCTAGTTTATAAGATAAGAAGAAAGAATAGTGGAAATCCTCGTATTTTATCATCCATTGCAAGTGGAAGAATGAGTGATTAAGAGTGGTCAGGACCAAGAATATTGTGTATATTTAGATGAGAAGATTGTAGCTAGGATCAAACTTTTGTTGCGGAAGTGAGGTAGAAGGAAGTTGATCATTAGTATTGATAGGCCCTACTAGAATTCACGGGAGTTTGAGTTTAGGCACATCGGCACAATTTAGGCCATGTCGTGCCCGTATCCTTTAAGGATCACTCTCCCTTTACATAAGAGTTCACGGGCCAAAAGCATTTGTGCGCATGTGTGTCTCTGGAGAGGCGTTATAAATCAGGTCTTCCAATATCAAGTCAAACATCTATGTTGGAGAAATGAGGATGCGCAGGGTGAGAACATAAATGTGTGTTCCAAAAACAGAAAAGGGAAAATGAAATAAAATGGGCAGTTACATTTCATTGTTGACAGATACACTATGTCACAGGCTTAACAATTATGTTAGGGAGATTGTTCACCAGTTTATTTTCATTTGAAACAAGAAAAACAGTGTAGAGGTTCTAGCCATAAGAACAATAGATAAAGCATGAGAACAAATCAATGGGTGTAGCCGGGGGTGTACTGTGGGGTTTGCTATATCTATCTATTACTTTCTTATGTCAAGCATGAGAACAATTCAATGGATGTAACCGGATGTGTACTGTATGATTTGCTATATTTATATTACTGTCTTAAGTCAAGCACACCCATCCCTCACCCCGCATCTGATTTATCGTTTCAATTCTTCCACTCCCTTCTTTTTAAAGCACATTTTGATGACGGGTTGAAGCGTGACCTCTAATATTGAAAGGGTTGAAGGTATCCTTTTTTTTGGGGGGGGGGGGGGGGGGGGGGGGGGTATTTGCAATGCACTAATGGGCTATAAATTCCTATTTCAATATGTGTCAATTAAAAGTATTATTTAAAAAAGTTTTATGAATTAGACATTTTAATATGTATCCATTAAACTAATTTAGCGCGCAATAAAACGGTCGAATTTCGCCTATTAGTTTAAATATCATTCTGGAACTTCTGTTGATGTCAGTTACTTAACAAGAAAATAACCTTATGAGGACTCTGCCCAATAAAAATTTATTTGGGCCCCATGTGGCTTGATTGTCACTTCCACTTGAGTACTAGCCATTGTCCCCCTTCAGCTGAGACCTGGATAGTGAAGTGTAGAGATTGGGAGAAAGGTGTTGAGCACTCCCCCAGCTGTCCAAGAGGAGGGACAACACGAGAAATACAAACATTATCACATCTTTAGGACTAATCCTTCCATTGTGTTCACTGTACTGAAACATTGGAGCTACGGTACACACCCTGCCTTCAAGGTCTCTAAATGGTCCATGTGTAAGTTTTGTGTTGTTAGATTGATTACTATCCTAAGAATTACAATGCAACATAGATAAAAAATAGAAATGACAGTTAGCAAAGAGGAAAACAAAAATACTATAAAACAAGTATAAGAAGAGATACACACACACACACTATCAAAGTATTGTGGGAGGAATGAATCCACAGCCTTGAACAGCATTGCATCTTGAGGTCTTCCTTCTCTAATTCACAAATTTCTAGAGCTTTGAACTCCAGTACTTAACTGGGTGCACACAACTCTCAAAACACACCTGGAGAAGACTTCCTTTAGAGACAAGACCTTTTTGTTTGTTTCAATGAGTTTGTTTTATTGACAGTGGCAACATCTGTAGCTGTGACAATCAGAGATACTTCCCTGTGTGTGGTACAGATGGTAGCAACTACTTTTCTCCTTGCCATGCTGGATGTCATTCTGTGAATACAAACAATGTATGTCATTCTGTGAATACAAACAATTGAAAACAAACAATGTATGTCATTCTGTGAATACAAACAATTGAAAACAAACAATGTCTGTCATTCTGTGAATATAAACAATGTCTGTCATTCTGTGAATATAAACAATGTCTGTCATTCTGTGAATACAAACAATGTCTGTCATTCTGTGAATACAAACAATGTCAGTCATTCTGTGAATACAAACAATGTCTGTCATTCTGTGAATACAAAAAATGTCTGTCATTCTGTGAATACAAACAATGTCTGTCATTCTGTGAATACAAACAATGTCTGTCATTCTGTGAATACAAACAATGTTTGTTATTCCATGACATGATTTCCTATGACTATTATGTTTCTTCTTGTCTTCAGACTTACAGTCACTGTGAGAACATGCCTAGTAACACAACCCAAGGAGCCATGGCCAATTTATGCCAGTCCACATGTCAGAATTTGTTTATTTTTTTGGCACTGATGTTTATTGCAGCCTTTGTTACAACTCTAGCATTAATGCCATCATTTATAGCTAGTGTCAGGTAAATAGCTAGTGTTAGGTAAATAGTTAGTGTCAGGTAAATCTATCATTAAGTTTGAATTGAGACATGCTCACAAGTCAGTTAGGAAAAGGAAAATTTGATGATGACATGAAGATGTGATTGAATGTCCTTGTCAAGGGGATGAAAGTGATCACTCAATTCAGACAAACCTCTACAACGTTGACTTTCAAAATGGTGTGTGCACAACAGAAAGAGCTAAAAGAAGCTTTGTACAAACAAAATCTTTCAAAATTAATTCCTAACCTGCATGATTAACAATTTAATATTTTTCTTTAATCTCATTTAAGTTGAAATAATTATTAAGTTAATAGATCTAGACAAACAATAATAAATCTATGCAATTACAAATATATTTATCAATTTTTGGTTTGTTTAGTGCAATGTCATGCTTTTAGTTTTTTCAATGCGCAATGCTCCTATCTTTTTGTCTGGATTAGTTGGGAAATGTTTTAGTCTCAAACAAATCCCTTGCACCCTGACAACAGTGCACATAAACAAAACAAATAAACACCCTGACAACAGTGCACAAAAACAAAACAAATAAACACCCTGACAACAGTGCACAAAAACAAAACAAAAACACCCTGACAACAGTGCACAAAAACAAAACAAAACACTCTGACAACAGTGCTCAAAACAAATACATTTGAAAAAAACAAACTATTCTGCTATGACCTCCAACACCTAGAAGCATCTAGACACCTTTTAATGTAAAGCAGAAACATATACAATCTAATGCACTTGATCCAATCAAAGCCATGCTGATAATGTTAACTGAATGTTTGTATCCACAGGTCAGTACAAGAGAGAGAGAAACCAATTGCTATTGGACTTTCAGCCTTTTCTTCAACACTTTTAGGTAGTCTTGATTGTACTGTATAAGTACCTAACTCCTAGGATTCTTGATTTAATCGCATTTCTTTGTATTGATCTTATCTAGATTTAGTTTCAACATTTCTTATTGTTTGTTTTCTCCAGGATGGTTACCAGGTCCCATCATATTTGGTGCATTGATTGACACATCTTGTATTGTTTGGAACAAAAGCTGCCTCTCCACTGGAGCATGTCTATTGTACAACATCGAAAAGTTTCGATTAAGGATTCATGCTCTGATTTTGGGACTTCGTTTAATCTCTATTGTTCTTAGTAGCACAGCTCTAGTGGTGGCAGTTTATTTTAAAAGATTTGCTTTTCAGGAGCATCGAGAAATAGTCATAACTTTGACTTCAAAGACTGAACTGACAGAGGGAAATGATCAAACAAATCTAGACAGAGAAATGACTTCAAAGACTGAACTGACAGAGGGAAATATTTAAACAAATCTACACAGAGAAATGACATTGACCTATTTAACGCTATGTTCTGGTGTATCTTAGATAGAAAAACCTGACAGTTCAATAGATCTAGTTTAAGTAAAACCTAAGTGTTTCTATTTTGATAATTATTATACACACACAGCAAATTGTTTCTTCTTATGAATGATTTAGTTTTGAATTGAGTGTCAAAGACTTACAGACAGACAGTAGGGACTTAGAGACAGCAGAGACTTACAGACAGACAGCAGAGACTTACAGACAGACAGCAGAGACTGACAGATAGACAGACAGTAGTTCATCTTTACTTGGTTTCTTACATATACTCACATCATTTCTCACCTAAACTGAACATCAACTATGAGAATCATTTCTCACCTAAACATCAACCATGAGAATCATTTCTTACCTAAACTGAGCATCAACTATGAGAATCATTTCTCACCTAAACTGAACATCAACTATGAGAATCCTTTCTCACCTAAACTGAACATCAACTATGAGAATCATTTCTTACCTAAACTGAACATCAACTATGAGAATCATTTCTCACCTAAACTGAACATCAACTATGAGAATCATTTCTCACCTAAACTGAACAGTTGATGTGTTGGTCTCTGGCAGACCTCTAACAAGTTTTCCAGCTTCAGCTGAAGTAGCCAATAGTGCATTGTACAAGTATTAGCCTGCTCATGTCTAGGTCATTTTGAAAGTAAAGTACGCAAACTGAGTACTTGCTATGGTACTGAATGCTGGAGAGTGAAGAAGTTTCTTGGGCTTTGCTGTCTGAATTATGCAATGGTTTAGGATTAGTTCCTTGATCTTGATGTTATTATTGACACTCATGAATACTTGTTTCATTAAAATAAAACTAGTTCTTTGAAATCTGACTACAGAAATTGTTTTCTAGCTGTGACATTTTTTGTCTCATAAATACATTCGATTAAACACTTAGCAAAACAAAATTCTACATATTTATCATTTATAATTCATTTATGTTGAAACTTTTTGAGTGTTCAATTGCAATATTAAGTATTGAGTCATAGAAAAGATCTAATAGAATCATCACAAAGTCCACTAAAGAATACATCAAAGCATTTCTGATCCACACTAGATCAATGATGGATAACATATTGCCATAAGATATCAAGACAAATAAATGAAACACACTGATGTACACAAAGTCACATGGACACATCAAAACCAATCACCATTGCCATTAAACAATGACATATTAAAAAAAGTGATAGAACCATAACAATATAGAACAATAATAAAACCTGTTGAAAACAAACAAATCTACACATAAAAATTACATAATGTGAACACTAAACCATCAATGAAATGAACCAAACAATTCCAGATAGACTACAAAACAAACAAAATGTGCAAAAAGTGTTGTCTGTGTACATGTGACTTTTGTTTGAACTGAAACTTTCTCCCATTCCATGAGCTACTTTAATTCTTTGAGAAGTAATTCTCTGACTATGGAACAGTTACACCCACCAGATGCTACATTCAATGCTCACCTAAGGAACATCTTCCCTTGCTTGTCGTTCTTCAGAAGCCACCCATCTTGACACAAGCACTTCCTGGACCAGAGGAGAAAAGGACACATTAGAAAAGTATCTGACAGAAAATGATAAAAACTGGTATTGGTATGTTAGACAACTTAGCTTAATCAAGTTGTTTTTCTATATCAGGATATTTTCAAATACTACTTTCAGATGTACAAATAATAAAAGACTGCTTTTTCATGGCAAACTATTGTAAAATTCTTTTTTTGTAGGTACATTTTTAAAGACTACTATTGCATAGTGCTTTTGTGAAGTGAATAAATCTGAAGTTGAAATCTAACAGATTTATCTAGCATAAACAAAAACTTGGATGAATAAAGCACAGAAATATTTCCTCCACAAGTTACAATTCTAAGAACTTTAATTCAATCCAACAAGAAACAATTTCCTCCTGAAATCTCAAGGCTGAAATGAAATGGACTTATAAAGCCAAACAAAAAAAAAAAATAAAACCAACCGATTCTGGCATCAATCAGGTTTTTATCTAGACTTAATTGTGACTAGAAAACATGAGTGAATGGTTGGCCAACACAATTCAAGCATGCTCACTTGCCTTGTGACCTTTTTACCATTAGGTATGCTTTTCAAAGTGACCATTTCCAAAAGCAAATACAACTTCATTGTAATTATGGCTCCTATTGTCATTTTTGAGACATTTACAAATGTATTGTTTCTAAATGGACTGCACTTTACATATTTGCCACCTTTTTTTTGTCATTTTAAAATTGATGAAGTATATAAAAAAGGTATAGTACTTATTAATAATAATAACTATATCAATAATGACAAATAGTATGGTTGATACATTAGACAGAAAATCAGGAATGTAATTGTAAATCTATTTAAATATCTGTGCAAAATACTTGTTTATTTTCATGTGTGTTCAGCATGATGGAAGGTCATGTCTGTTTTGTGTCCATTATGAGAAGTGTGTGTGTGTGTGTTTTTTTTAACGTTGAGATGAATCTTGAAGAAAACAAAGAAACTAGAGCCAAAATAAAAATAGTTAAAAAAGCTGCTTTTGCTAACTGTATTTTCATTTTCACTCAATCATTACCATACATGTGAAGTGTACTTCAGAAAGTTGACTTTTATGAAAAACTTCATTGCCATTGTAAAATAGAATAATGCCCAAAAGGTATTTTTCTTTAGGGTTAGAATTTTGCTGGCTTTCTTAATGTAGTTTTTCTCAACTGGGTGTCAAGTCAGGTTTGTATGATCTTACTATTTTCACAACTAATCTACAATGCGTTTGACAAATCCACTGAAGGCATCTATCTCCATTCCAGATTTGATGGAACTCCTAAATATAGCCAGACTGAGGGCCAAAACTAAAATCAGAACCACCCTCGTAAGAGATATGTTATTCGCAGATGATGCAGAGGTAGTGGCACACACACAAGAGGAACTTCAGCTACTAATGTCCTGCTTCTCTCAGGCCTTTAAAGAATATGGCTTAACTATTAGCACGAAGAAAACAAATGTTATGGGACGACCACCTGCTACAGCACAACCCTCCATCCTCAAAGACGATAACAAGCTGGACGCCGTAAATGAATTCTGCTATCTGAGATCCACAATTCAAGATGACCTGTCTCTAGAAGAGGAGACAAAAAAACGCATAAGAAAGACTGCGTCAACCTTTGCTAGACTCAGGTCAAGAGTTTGGGAAAACCAGAGCTCACTATAGTGACCGAAATGGAAGTCTACAAGGCATGCATTATGAGTACACTACTGTATGGTAGTGAATCATGGACCACCTAAGCAAAGCAAGAGAGAAAACTAAACTCATTCCATTTGCGATGTCTCTGTAGGATCTTGAAAATCACTTGGAAAGAAAAAGTGTGCAATTCTGAGATCCTTGCGCGAACAGGTATTCCCAGCATCTTTACAGCCCTCAGACAACGCCGCTTGCGCTGGCTTGGACATGTTTGCCGAATGGTGGACAATCACATCCCAAAAGTCATCCTCTACGGACAACTCACTTCTGGCTCAAGAAAAACTGGTCACCCCCACCTCCGTTACATAGATATAATAAAACAGGACCTCAAATCAGTAAACATCAATATGGACAAATGGGAAGACATAGCTCTAGACCGCACCAGATGGAGAGAGACAGTGACCAAGAAAGCTTTGGACAGTGAAAGAACATGGGTCTCAGCTCAGGAAGAAAACGTACAATACGAAAAATGGCCAGCTCCTCTAGCACCGAAGCAAAAGCCACCGTAACCTGCGATATTTGTGGACGGGAGTGTCTCTCCAAAATAGGGCTCCACAGCCACATGAGGAAGTGTGCGAGATGAACTATAGTTGTTCTACGACTAAAGGAGGCCAACAATTTCTTTTAAGTTTTGAAAGTGCTGCTGTGGACTGTGCAATGTGGGCCAGTAGTTCGGGTTACGTTCCCTCATCTGAGACAACTCTTCCAAGGTATTTAAAACAAATGACACTTGTCAGCTATTCACCTCCAATGTTGATGCAACAGAAAACAGAGCTGAAACTTAAAGTTAACTGTGCCTACTATTTAACTTGTACTTCAGGATTGAACTTAACATGAATTGCAATTAATCTAGAATCTATTAAATTTTTGACTACACACTTGGTATCTAGATCTACTACATGTCACATTGACCTGCCATGACACAGTTACCGTTTGCAAGCTATTTTTTTTCATCTGTGATGAAATGAACAATTTTAACTGTTCCTGTCTAAGCTGTATTTTCGACTTCAACATATTTTCCAGTTGACTACTGTCCTAAGTGTCATATATCTGGAAGCCTGATTTATGTGGTTGTACTTTTACACCAGTTGAGATAGCTTTAGGAGCACAGCATTATTCAAAGTCACTTTAACATCGTAAGCAAAAGAGATCAAACGTGATATGCTGAGACAACCTTGATACTACAGCCTGTGTGGGTGAAACTAGACAACCGTGATACTACAACCGGTGTGGGTGAAAATCTAGTACTGCAAGTTATTCAAGTCATTGTTTGAAGACAACTGATATATGGTCCGTCGAAGTAGCTGACATATTCAAGATCATCTACCTTGAGTGCTCGTCATAATTCTAATGACACTCATATTGTCACTGTCTACAAGCTGCACATTTAATAAGATAGCACTTTTACTCGTTAGACCTCTCTTGCCGTCACTACCTTCAGGGTCATTTTTAGTTATTTATATTTGTTTCAGCAACTGTACGAAAGTGGATTACCTATCAAGCATATGAAATATTTATTGGATTACCTGTCAACCATATGAATTGTTTAATGAATTATCTGTCAAACATACGAAGTATTTATTGGATTACTATTGTTCAAAGACTTGAGTACCGTATCCTTTAACATTGTACTGTGGATTACGTATGAACTGTATTTGTGACATACTTCACATGGAGCATCACCGGAACTTTCTGGACAAGTCAAGCATCAAGTGAATATTTTAGGGAAGTAACAATTTAATAACCCTTTAGTATTAATGAGTATTGATTAGTTCTCTTGAACTACACCACAATTTTTGTTTCATTGTATTTATATATACTTCTGACCTTTAGGGACTAAATTTCATTATCTATTGAGTCTGAGCATTTATATTTTTTTTTTCAAAGTAAGCATCCAGGTATTGGTAGGGACTCTTTAGATAAAGTAAATACTTGATCGTATAGCTGTA